CAGAACGGTTTAACAGATAGCTACTCCAAGATCATTGACACCCAAAAGGCAGAAGGCATTGTGGAAGTTGCCAGTCAAGACCCCCAAGGAGTAGAGTTCTACATCCCCCACAAACCCGTGATAAGAGAAAGCGCTGAGTCAACAAAGGTGAGAATCGTCTATGACGCCTCAACCAAAGCCAACAGCGGAGCCCCTAGTCTAAACCAATGTTTGAATCCAGGCCCCCCACTGCAGAATGACCTTTGGAAGGTCTTGGTGAGAATGAGATTCCTCCCTGTAGCATTGTGCGGAGATATTAAACAAGCGTTCTTGCAAGTTCGGATAAGAGAAACGGACAGGGACGCACTCCGGTTTCACTGGAGTCCAGATGCAAGTCGTGAAGTCGAGACCTTAAGATGTACAAGAGCTTTGTTCGGGCTGACATCGTCACCATTTCTCCTCGGGGGAGTGATTGAACATCATCTGAAGTGTTGGGAAAGTAGGAAACCGGACGTAGTAGTTGAATTGCAAAAGAGCCTGTATGTGGACGACTTAGTGAGCGGGAAGACAACAGTAGAGCAAGCACAGACAATGAAAGACGACGCGATAGAGATATTCAACGATGCTACATTCACGCTTCACAAGTGGCATTCGAACAGACGAGAGTTGGAAGAAACGACGAACGACAATGAAGAGAAAACATTTGCGAAGCAACAACTTGGAACACCCAGTGAAGGAGAAGCTAGCATTCTGGGACTAGCTTGGTCAAAAGATAAAGATGAGTTAAAAGTCGTTGTTCCCTTTGGGGAAGTTACTACAACAAAGCGTGGGATTTTGAGTAAACTAGCTCGAATATATGATCCCCTCGGACTGTTATCACCAAGAACTTTACAAGGGAAGATAATTTATCGTGAAGTGTGCGAGAAGAAGATATCGTGGGATGCTCCGTTATCTGCTGAGCAAAAGAATGATTGGCTCAAATGGGAGAAGCAACTGCCAAACCACATAGCTGTGCCACGTTCAATACCCACCTTCCAGGAGGACATCGAGTCAATTGTATTGCATGCCTTTGGTGACGCAAGTGGCAAGTGTGTAGCAGCCGTTGTTTATGCTGTGGTTAACCAACCCTCTGGTACAACGCAAGGTCTAGTAGCAGCGAAGGCGAGATTGGCGAAACACGGGTTGACAATACCCAGGCTAGAGTTGGTCTCTGCACACATGGCATCCAACCTCGTAGACAACGTGCGACAAACCCTGGATGGATTTCCTGTGCAAGAAACATATGGTTGGCTCGACAGTACAGTGGCGCTACACTGGATAAAGGGCGGAGGAGAGCATAAACAGTTCGTAGCCAATAGAATTCAAAAGATCCAGTCAAAACCTAACATACAGTGGCGCTATGTTCCGACCGATTGCAATCCTGCTGATGTGGGAAGCAGAGGTGGCCAAGTGAAAGACAACCAACTGTGGTTAAATGGACCAGATTGGCTTAAAGATAATCGTATGTGGCCAGAAAATATCGTAACCTGTGCAACCAAAGAAAGCGAAGCTGAAGCGAAGATGATCAAAACCGTGCTAGGATTGACCCAAGATAACTCGGACTGTTTTGACCACATCCTTGAGAAGTTTGCATTACGAAAATCCATGAGAATATGCGCGTGGATTACGAGGTTCATAACAAACCTGAGAAAACCCAATAGTAGAACTTTGGGACCACTAACGACTGATGAGCTCGAGCAGCAATATGTATTTTGGCAAAAGAAAGTACAACAGAGCTGTGGTAGCGAAGACGATAAGCTGCGACTCAATTTACAAGAGAACCCCCAAGGTATCCTGGAGTGCAGGGGACGCATTCAAGGTCATTATCCAGTTTATCTGTCAGACAAGCACATCTTTACGACCAAGCTGGTGGAAGATGCCCATCTATGCACCCTTCATGGGGGAGTGGGGATGACCATGGCCCGAATTCGAGAACAATACTGGGTCCCACGACTTAGACAACTTACACGCAAAGTAATCAAGAAGTGTTACGGTTGTCGTAGATTGCAAGCGAAAGCAGTACTACAACCACCACCTGGTATGCTGCCACCTGATAGAACTGAAGGGAGTCGTCCCTTTGAAACAATAGGCGTGGACTTTGCTGGTCCTATTAAGTACATTAAGAAAAAGAAGGAAGAAGGAAAGGCATACATACTACTCTATGCCTGTAGCCTCACGCGAGCGGTATATCTCGAGTTGATGCCCTGCTTAGACACAGGAAAGTTTATCGAGAGTTTTAAGAAATTCATCGCAAGGAAAGGGAGACCAAGCAAAGTCTACTCTGACAACGCAAAAACGTTTGTTTCAGCAGCAAACTGGTTACGAACAGCTCAAAACGATGAAAAGTTAAACGAATTCCTCAGCAAGAATCGAATTAGATGGCAGTTCAACCTGAGTCGCGCCCCATGGTGGGGTGGCCAGTTCGAGCGCTTAATCGGATTGGTAAAAAGAGCTCTACATAAAACAATTGGCAAAGGGTCGCTGAGTTGGGACGAGCTGAAAGAGGTCCTCGTAGACATCGAAGTAGCATTGAATACAAGACCACTCAGCTACATGGAAGATGATGTACAGCTACCAACGCTAACGCCTAACTCCATGATGTTCATTGGTTCTACATTCGCGCCAGAGCTGGAAGCACATCACATACAAGAAAAGGATCTACGCAAGCGTGCAAGGTATTTGTTAAAGTGCAAGCAAGCAATGTGGCGGAGATGGTCAACGGAATATCTGCGCGGTCTACGAGAGCGACATAACCAAAATCACAAGAAGACGTCGTTCACGGTAAAAAAGGGTGACGTGGTTATTATACAATCGGATGAACGAAGCCGTGGAAAGTGGCCTCTCGGTGTTGTCGACGAGCTGTACAAAGGACGTGATGGTGTTGTTCGTGCGGTGAAACTTCGTGCAGGAAAAACCTACCTTGAACGAGCAGTGAACCACCTGTATCCACTCGAGTTATCCTGTGACCGTACAGAAACAAAGGAACTTATCAACTTAAACCTGGAAGCGGCGTCGTTCCGACCAAGACGAGATGCTGCAGTGGCAGCTCAACAACGCATTAAAGAAGTAGCAGAAGTAGAACGTTGACGAAAACTGTATAGTGCAAATTGAACACTGAACTTTTATAGAACTTTATCCTTTATTAGTACTGTTTGGTTAGACCAGTCTCCTTTGAGGGACATATACCTCGCTGCAAGGTATATGGGGGGAGAGTGTCGGAAACTGTCGTAATTTAGAATTAGTATTTATGTTCACGCGTGGGACGCGCGAGTCCAAACTTTAAACACTTCGGAAAGTTCCGGATTATACCGGTGGTTGTTGTTTTTTCCAGGAGAGAACTTAAAAACATGTGGCTGTGAAGCTGTGAAACTTGTGATTTTGTAATAGATATTATACTGTGTTTTGTTGTGATTTATTTTGGGCGATACTTGGAGGCAATCCCCAAAACAGATATCTTTACATTTACATAGACAAGATTGCGAAATGTCCGACTCTGTCTGGCATGAACAATCCGAGATAATTATGTTATTAGTTTTACTTACGGCGTTTAAATCTTCACAGATTTTAGTGCAGAGGAGCTGTGTAATTTTTCCGGCATCGGTACCTTCTAGATGCAGTAAACTTTTACTCTTTGGCCACGAGATCAAAGTGTCATTTGTCCTGAATACTTTCTTATCGCCGCCCGGTTGCTCCCAAATTCCAGTCAACTTTAAGTCTTCGCTCAATAATAATTTCTTTCTGCCTCATACTCTCCTGTCCAAGCAAAACATATGTGGTACGGCGAAGGCATAAGTCACGTTGAACTAGATTAACTAAAGTTTGTCTTTCCAAAATACGGAGAGCAAAATTTACACGTCTGCTCGCTATGGAGACTTATTACATTCGGGGATAGTGGGGCGAACTTGTTACTATCTGGAACCCGTATTCATTAGCAAATTCGCGATAGTCCTTGCTGGAATAATGTGGACCGTTATCAGAACGAACGACTTCCGGGATTCCCTGTTTTCTGAATATCTGCTTTAGGATCGCTATAATGGTCTTGCTGTTGCTCTGCCCTTTTGGGAATTTCTTCACAAATGGGTACTTGGAGTAATAATCGGAAACAAGCAAATATTCTGTGTTATCAAGATAGAACAGATCAGTGGCAATTGTATGCCAAGGGCGAGGTGGTATCTCTGTTGGGATGAGTGGTTGTCGGGTTTGTGTTGGTTGAAATTCTTGGCAGGTACGACAAGATTTGGTTATTCTGTCGATATCGTCGTTCATCTTTCGCCAAAAAACGGATGTTCTGGCACGAAGTTTTGTTTTCTCTGCACCTTGATGTGTTATTGCATGAAGTTTTCCAAGAATTTCAACTTGAAGGATTGATGGTATGATGATTCTTTGCCCTTTCATGAGCATTCCATTGTCAATAGTAATTTCGTCTCTGTAGCACCAATACGGTTTGAGAACTTGTGGAACGTCTTTAATTGACGTTGTCCAGCCTTCGTGCACAATCGTTTTGAGCATCTTTAGCTCTTGATCAGAAGTTGTTGCTAGTTTGACCTTCTCGATCATCTCGCTGCTAAATTGTGGGTAAACGTCGTGAATTTCCACGTTCATATCTTTCACTGGGTTCTTTTCTTCGGAGGATAATATAGTAGCATGTCTTTTCCTGGAATATATTTGATAGTTAAGTCGTAGGGTTGTAACCGGAGCAGCATACGTTGCAGTCGGGGAGGCGCAGACGCGAGCTGAGGTGCTTCAGGTGGATACTCTCGAGCGGTTTGTGGTCAGCCGGACAATTACTGGTCGTCCAAACAAATAGGTGTGGAAACGTTCGCATCCATATACAACAGCCAGCATTTCACTTTCGATGTTGGCATATCTGGTTTCCATGTCTGTTAATGATTTACTTGCAAACGCAACAGGTTTCCCATCTTGTATTAGTGCAACCTGTGTATCAGACTCTATTTTACAAATAATAGTCTGACACAAACCTTAATCCGATCGCTTTCCATCCACAGCAAAGTTTATATTTAGTATCCAATCAAAATGTCGCAGGAGAAATTTAAATTTCACACAACGACAACAACAATCTAATTATAGTTCTGATCACTATAAAATATATCAAGAACAATAGTATAATCTAATTAGCACCATGCAACCAATGAAATGACAGATTAAAAAATCTTTTGTCGCATAGACCAATCAGATTTACAACTGAAATACGGTTGTGCGGCATGGACTTTTGTTAAGATTTGTACCAGACCTATTTATTTATTTATAGGACTGGGGCCGGTTGTATACAACTCTTAATCACTTTTTTAATTACTATTTTGTAGTTAAATCGCGATTAACTCTCAAATACACGCTTCTTATTGGATGACGTTTCCACTAACTATAGTTAACTTTAATCACTTTTTTATACAACCGGACCCTGATCGCAGGTTGGTGTTATAGTGCTGCTCCGAGACCCTTTGTTGAAGCGTCCACTTGTAGAACAACTACTTTGGTGCTATCGAAATAGTTTAAGGTAATCTCTTCACTGTCTCACTGATGGCTTGTTTAACTTCGTCAAATGCTCGTTGGTAGTTTTTATTCCATTCAAAGGTATTCTTCTTCTTTAGGATTTCTCGTAATGGTGCTGTAATGGAGCTAAGGTTTGGGATAAAAGGACCCATATGTATGTGGCTAACCCAAGGAATGTCTGGAGCTCACGACGATCTCTGGGCTTTGCCATCTGTTTCAAGACAGAAACTTTGGATGGATCTGTCTTGTTAATGCCCTCTTCATTGCATATAACACCATAGAATTTGATCTGCTTATACTTTATGAAGCATTTTTCAGGGTTGAACTTTAGACCGGTGTTTTGGCATCTCTCCATCATACCATGTAGGTTTTTATCATGCTCTTCCGCTGTCTTGCCAAAGGCCACTATGTCGTCAGCGTTTCCCACAACACCATTGCAACCCTCAAAGGTTTGATCAATTTTTTATTGAAATGGCATTCGTTTAAATGGCATTTGTTTAAATCGATATCGCCCAAAGGGCGAGTTAAATGTTGTTAAATAACTGGATTCTTCATCTAGTGTCACGTTCCAGTAGCCACTTCTTGCGTCCAGGATAGGGAATTGGGTTAGGGTTAGGTCAACTTTGGTAGAATTTCTTCTAGGGTTGGTGTAACATGGTGGTCACGTTGGATAACAGCATTCAAGTCTTTCGGATCCAGGCATATTCTTAGCCTCCCATTGGGTTTCCTTCGGTAAACTAGACTGTTGACCCATGCTATGGGTTCACCTTCTCGAACTTTGGTTATCATGTCTAGCTGTTCCATCTCTTCTAACTCGTGTTTGATATCATCTTCAAGCTAAGGCTGATGGGAACGCGTCGGGGTGAGTGAATGACAGGTGGAACTGAAAGGTCTAAGGAGATGTGATATTCCCCTTGAAATTTGCCAATCCCATTAAAACAATTTGGGTATTCATGTGCAATCAGGTGTGATTTATTATCTATGGAAGTGCTTGGTTTAAGCTTTGCCGTGTCCTTAGTAGGCGACTCTTGTGCTTGTGATTTCTCTACTGAACAGTTCAACGTAATCAAGTGAAGATCTAGTGCAGTTGGTAATCCAATAATTGCTCTGCTGTGTACATCAGTCACATAGAATGTAGCAATTGTGCTGTTGTTATTGTATGAGCACTTTATGTCGCATGTACCAAATTGTGGAATTGGAGTACCCCCGTATGCTGTAAGGGTGGTTGTAGACTTTTTAACTGCACTTATCTTGGGTTTACCATCATAAGTTTCATAACTGATATTCTCTGGGAACATGCTACGGCCGGTATAATCTTAGTGGTAGGATGTTTGCTTGAGCACCTACAGTATGTCAACTTTAGCTCTCAATTGTGTGTTATGGGTATTATTTGGCAGTTCGATGTCAATCATGACAAGTGCTTCGTCTTTAGTTTGGCTGTTTAAGTCAGGTGTAATACTGTTAACTGTGATAGTGTCAAAAACTAGTTTATCGAATTCATCACTTGACACGTTGTTTACATTCAAATCATGGATGAAGTGGATCCGTTTATTACTGTTTCGACCTTGACCTTGGCTGTATCTAGTTTGTTTGCCCTCATTGGGATAAAATCAAGAAGTGCCTTATATAAAACACAAAACACAAAACATCCAAATTTCACTGAACCGTGATGCGTAGTCATTGTATGCAAGATATACAGGTCGAGTTATTTGCTTGTGTACCGTAACGTTGCTTATGGCTGCATATCCATATTTATATGCACAGCACATGCTGGCACATACAGCCATTTCGATTAAGGTTGTCCCCGAGCAAAGAGGAAAAGTCGAATACGAGCGCGAAAGGTTTGCTAGGAATCGCTAAAAGACCTAAAAGATTAATAATTTTTTAACTCTTCCCAGCAAGCCTTTCGTGCTCGTATTCGACTTTTCCGCTTTGCTCAGGGACAATCGTAATTAAAATAGCTGTATACCATAGGACAACCGTAATTAAAATAGCTGTATACCATCAATAGGCAATTCCAGCTTTTAGTTTATGCGTGCAGGGGACGATGGGAAGTAAGGTATCACATTGCTGATTATGCTGAATAAATAAAAATGGTGGCCGTGTAAACACGGAGTGATAGCTTATACTTGTAAATATTGAAATATTTCGGTTGCTTCGGTAGTTTTTATTGAAATTTTTCAGCATAATCAGCAATATGATACCTTACTTCCCATCATCCCCTGCAGGCATAAACTAAAAGCTGGAATTGCCTATACGGGAGATCTTACATAGGCCTACAAAATTACATATGACCGCTCCATATTGCAATAGAAAATTCCAATTCCTATAGACTGATTTTCCTACCCGTCCAGCACGGGAACTACGTGGCGTTTCTGCCGATAGAAAGATAAACTAATGATATTCAGAACGTCGGAGCCCATGCAGTGTTAGAAAGTATTCAAAAAGTGAACTGGCAATTGGTTGTGAGTCGTAATTATCTGAAAGAGATACGGATTATGAGCTTTCGGTCGAAACATCGAAATTCAGTTTCTTTATCTATCCAGGTAATTAATTATGATAAAAAAGTTTAACTCTGATGGCCAAATTTATCAACCCTGAATGTGGATTGGGAAATCTTTCGGCATTATTGGGGTCTACGCCCCTCCTGATGCTACTTGTATTTCTAATAAAATATGCAACAAATATGTTTTTTAATTAAATGCATTTATTTGTCAATTCTCTCGCACATATACTGTATAATGACAATTATCACGATGAAAGAAAATTTTATCATCTTTATACTGTTAAAAAAGTTTCTTTTTTTCTTTTTGTCTTTTATCTTTTTTTTTGTTTTTTCAATTTTGTAAATTTTTTTTGTTTTTTTTTCGCAATTTTGTGTGTTTTTTTAAAGTTTTTTCTTCATTTTGTATTTTTTGTACATTTTTCATTGTTTTTTTGGGTTGTTTAAAAAGTAATATATTAGTATAGGAATGTGGTATTCTTTTACTTTATAATATTGTGCGAGTGTCAAGGTGTATCCTCAGTGACCGTGTCCCTGTTCAAATTTTCTTGCTTCTGATGTCGACTTGGTCCAGAAACAACTATTTCTGTTAAGACGGGCTTGGCGGTGGTCATATTTAGGTACCTAAGAAGTAAAGAGAAACATTAATGTTAATGCAAGGGTTGGGTTAAATGTTTCTTGCAATGAGGTATACAGCTTTGTAGTCAATTATTTTAATTCAAAACTTTGTAGACCTTTATGGTGATTTAATAGGATCTCTATGGAAAACAGTTTGCTGTTGTTCTGCTGATGGTTCCTTGGTGAACTTGCAAAATCAAAGCTAAGTGAGGCTAAGTCATCTGACATTTGCATTTATTTCAGATATTTTAATTGAGAATAAGAAGATATTTTCTCTGTTTACGCTGGCTTATGCAAACGATCATTTTTGAGACCTCTGATATATTTTTCAGAAATTAACATGTACACTACACATTGTACAATAATTTGAATATTGGCACAAAAAGTGTCACTTTTTACCAAGGGGAACGGCGTTTGCACATCTACCCGTATCGAACAAGACATTCGAATGCACTTGTTTAAATCACGAGTCATATAGCATTTACTGACAATTCATGCAGTTTGAATCTGACTCATATACAGTCCCTAAAATGAGGATTGAATAATATTAGTGCATTATGGGAATGATCAAGGACAAGGTCCAAATTCGTTCCTATCATGCATCCGACACTCCTCAGGCCACTGATATAAATATATTCTTATATTTAAATCAGTGTTTTATATTTTCGTCAGAGTTTGCATATCAAGAGATGGGGGGATCAACGTTGAGTTTGTTAAAAAATGCGCTCGTTTGACTAGTGTAATTTTTGGAACTCAACGTTTATAGAGGTGGGCACGTTGATGTTGATATTTTTTCAAATAACAAAATAAGCGACGAAACAGCTGTAAACAAACAATGCTGATCGTAATAGTGGTCAAACATTTTCATGCGAATATCTTTTAACAAGTAACAGCAATACGCAATGCAGAAATATAATGTCATATAACTAAGTGAAACAATATAATCTCAATATTTGTTCAAAAACAGTTTAGTGTTAAACCTCGTGGTCAAGAGAGTTCATGAGAGTTGGAAGTCACGCGTTGTTATTTGTCACGTGCATTTCAAGCTCTAGATTTAAACAAAATAAGGTAATGAGTGTTCTAACTATGTTTTAACTTAAATAGAATATAGATGATAGTCTTGGCAGTACATTAAAGAACTGGCTATAAACATTACTGCATGCCAACTCTCATGCACTCGGATATCGCAGTGTATAAAAGATTAAGTTTTTTAATGAACACTGGAGAAAGTGTATCTCCAAACGACTTTAAGAATAAATGTAAAGAAATTATTTTATAGCTATACTAATTAGTAATATTCTATAGTATATTCTAAATATCCTATTCTATACTATATGTAAATATGTTAACTTATTAACGTATTTTTAACTTAAATTGCGAGGGCCCTGTGGAAGATAAGTTTTGGCATACCAGGTATATTGGCGATGTACAATATTCTTAACCATCTTTAAATAAAGTTTATTGATTGATTGATTGATTGATCGATTAGAAATAAAAATAAAATAAAAAAAAAATAAAATTTGAAATAAAATTGAAATAACATTTGCTATGGCAGCTAGTAACATATGAGTCACGATTTAGAAACAGTTACCGTATTATTATTTGACCTTCAGGATTAAAATTACGGTTTGGATTAGGGAAAAGGTTAGGATTAAGATTTAAGATTTTTAGGATTAGAGTAAGGGTTAGGATTAAGGTAATATGGTTAAGTTTAAATTAAAATACAAAAGAATACAAAATTGCGAAAGTCGACTAAAAATAGTAACTTTTCCTAAAACGTGACAGGTATATAGCTAGTGTCAGTGCATGGTTTTGTGATACTGATTATTAATGAAAACACCACATTCGTGTTTTCATAAATGTTTATAATTAATGAGAAAAGTGAAATTGATAATACTTACTGTTTTGCCTTATTGTATGTAATATAAACCATAATGATTGCTACGATAATCAACAATATACAAAGCAAAGATCCTTTGTTTTTCATGAAAACGTTGGCTGTAGATTTTCCTGTTGTTATAGCTTCATCTTTTTTCTCAATTATTGTATCTACATAACGATATAGAGAATTCAGTTTGTCTACTGCCAAAATGATATTTGTATCCAAAAATTGGTAACTATAAAGATCCACAAGGTAGTTTTGGTTCTGGTTAGCTCAGGGCCGTCGCTATAGAGGGGGTATTGGGGTGTGATACCCCTGAAAACAAAATGAAGGATTTTGTCGGCAATTTTTTCATTGTTCGTCTACTCAAATTTGACGCCTACCTCTCCGCCCTCTCCGAACTTTTGTCGGCAAATGCAATACCACACACACCCTGCTTAAGCCTCTTTGCGACGGTCCTGGGTAAGCTACCAAACTGCCGACGTTTAATTGTAGGTGATACAACTACTTTTAATTGAAAAAACTTCAAACACTCATTAATATTTATTTCAAATTGCACAATAACCTGTTTGATCACATGCAGGCATTTTATGCCTGATGAAACTCTCCCACCCCAGAAGGAATCATAATCAGTCTATTAATTAATTAAAAACTATTTAAACATGTTAATTCTGTGAGATTGTATATAAAGAATACTGATGAACGCATTTACAGTATATGACATTTTACGCTGATTAGTAATTCAAACGCATACGGGATGAAATGGAAAAATCGGGGGGAAATCAAATCAAATGCACCTCGTAAACATGAGTTCTAAATCAAAGATTTTCAGCTTGTAAAAATTTAAACGTATAGCCTTACATGTCGTAGTAACCATGGATGATCACCGGCGGACATTTGCTGTTTCTCCCTCGTTGGTGTCCGTATACAGCTATTTCAATTAAGGTTGTCCACGAGCAAAGCGGAAAAGTCGAATACGGGCGTAAAGGCTGCTGGGAATTGCTTTGAAAATCCATTAATTTGTTAGCGATTCCCAGCAGCCTTTCGCGCTCGTATTCGACTTTTCCGCTTTGCTCGTGGACAACCTTAATTGAAATAGCTGTATATAGAAAGGCTCAGGCCACATCAAAATAAAATTTAACATTTAAAAATAGTAGCGACGAAAACTACATAGACCACGAGGGTAACAAAGGGGTAATTTGTGTGATTGTGGCTGTTTTGTGTGATTTTGGGCTTCGGAAAACAAAATTCGAAAGCGAATATGGACAAAATACAATTAATTATAATTATGATATGGCAAGCATCACTTCCGGTGAAATGGCGGACTGTGATTGGCTAAGAAGCTCGATTGGCTAAGAAGCTCGATGCATTTCAAAAGAAAACAGCAAAACTAACTGAAAATTTGAAAATTATAATTTAATTTGTTATTAGTAAGCTTTCTGCGAATTGTTTTTAGTGGAAAAGAAGGAATAATACATTGGGTTTTTTTTTGTTTTCTTCGACCAAATTTTTCCAAGCGAAGAATGAGCGTCGGAAATGACGTCTGGGTTCGCAGACTACCAAATGTGTACCGTGCTATTAATATGCATTTCAAATCATGCATTTCATGTTTGTTTCAAGTATAAATGCCTATAAATGCCATATAATAATAATAAACTTTTTATTAACCTCGGTTCGCTCGGTATGTACAGAGAAATATCGGACCTCGGTCTTTTCCAACAAACCTCGCCCTACGGGCTCGGTCTGTACAAAAAAGAACTCGGTCCGATATTTCTCTGTACAGACCCTGCGTTCGGTTAATAAGAAGTTAGTAACTACAGAGAGAAACAGGTTCTAAAACGCCATGTTGAAATTCAAAGATAATATAGATTAGACAATTTGCACTATTTGTTTCTTTCTATATCATATACTTTTTTTCAAACGTACATGATCGACTGTTCTTTGCTTCTAAGAAAATAATCTACTTTTCTTACCAATATCCACAGACCGTCTGGAGCGTTTATTATGGAACATTCCTATAATGAACGAAAGAGAGGTTAGACATTCAAAGGAAGAATAAATTTGGCTGCTATATTTCAGACTGGGTTATTTTACAGCTGACCATTCGCAACCGTTAACGCGGTCGTTATATAATAGTCAATAAAAACGAAGATATAAAATTTTACCGCGAAACTCCTTCGAATTCTTTATAGGTTTTAGCGTATTAGTCTTTAAATTTCTCGAAGCAAAGAAATAAATTGATCAATATTATAAAATCATAAAGATAAGTTTTCAAAAGTACCAATGAGCGGTGTCACGTATATTCACAGAAATTGAAACATATAGACTCGCAATTATATATAAAACGATTGAAAAGCAATAGCGGAAACAGTATTAGAACTGTATTTACCTGATCAAAAAATCAAATCTAGTCTTTCGTTAATCATCATAATAGGTACTATTTAAAACCCGCGTAGGAGTGTAGGACGGCCTGTTTTATTTATAAGTAATAGCATGGCATTCAGGGCGATTGGTGATTAAATGTACCCGAAAGCCGAGAGAGTTTAGTTTTACTAAACCTCTCGAGGCTTGAGGAACATTTCATCACTAATCGACCGTAATGCCATGCTATTACTTTGTAATATCATAGAGGGCCCTGAAGGGGTAAAATGGGAACTGGGATTGATCTATTTTTAGACTGGGAAAATGGGATTTGGGTTGCTGGGACTGGGATTTGGCCACTGGGAATGGGAAATGAAGTCCTCAAAAATGGGAATGGGATTGAGGTAATGCGAGTCGATTCCCAATTTTTCTGCGTTTTGAGTATTTTAAAATACAATTTTGATCCGTTTTTGATGTCTTTGGTCATGATTTTTGTTGTTAACTATATTATTCACAGCACTACCTGCGAACAGGCATACTCTGGCACCCGGAATTCTGGGTTTTCTGATTATGCGTGTCTCGGAATGCTGCAAATGCCATTTCCGGTATTCAAATTTAAGCGTATGCATGGGTAATGAGGTAAATTAGTGATTAATCGTGCCTCGCGAGACAAAGGATTTCGAGGCAACTATGGTATTACTTATTTAATAAAATGCGAGTGCGCAGCACAAGCGTTTTAGATATGATAAAACACGACTACAAGTGTTTCGAATAACTTCAAACACGACTACAATAGATGCCGTCTCATTAGTATTCTTTATATAAAGAATACTAAATCTAAGTAGGAGAAAGTTTTATACAAAGAATACTAACAGTAATTAACGAGAATCAGGCAAAGAATACTAACAGTACGTGATTTAACAGTACAAAAAGCTTATGAATTATTAATGAGTGGTTGAATGATAAAGGAATTTGACCAGTCATGTTATATACGACCTGCACGTTCAGAATGGCCGGCGCCATTTCCTGCGTTTTAAGGTTCAAAACAGGACCACAAAAATGTGTGTTTAGAATGGATTAGAGGAAGTTAGTTAAAGTTCGTAATACTTTTTCTTTTGGGAGAAAATCTTCCAACATTTTAAAATTGTCATTACATGAATATTAATTTTATTTTCAGTTGTAGTACAACTTTATCTGCAACGTTTGCTCAATATATTTTAATTTGACTGAAGAAAGACGAAAATATTATCATTACACTTGGACTTCATAATTCTGTACTATTTAAAACATGAGCCGAGCAGTGTTTTGTCAGATATAAAGATACAAGACAAAGCCGAGTACCTTTATAGGTCTGATAAAACACGCATTGCGAATGTTTTAAATTACTTCAGGAATGATCGATCTAGTAAGTTCATTGGCTAAGTAATTTTCAAAAAATACGTTGTTGTTGTGTAAGTCGAGAAAATCAAAGTTAAAGTTTATGCAAATCAAGGGAAATCTCTAACACATATAAAGATACGACACGCTTATAATTTTTCTTTCCGTTTTCCTCATGAATTACAAATGAGTTTTTGAAAATGTCTATAAGTTAACGTAAATTCGAAATGTACCTATAGTGAATCTAAAGCACATGCAACCCTAAAGTTTCCATTAGATATTTGTAATATTTTTTAAACCGGCTCCACATAAGCATTCTTGTCCCAATGAACAAACCAGATAAACATTAACTAGCTTTTCACTAGTATTTTTGCAAAAGTGAATATAACAAATCCTACAGGTTGATTGGTCAAATTTGGCGTATTAAGCCGGCTGTTATATTCACCTACACTGTTATAACAAAACCGAAATTTGCCAAATGGCGGCTAGCCGTTTAGTGGAAGTTACTGATAAAGAAATAAGGGAAAACTAAAATAAATTCAGTCCCAAGAAAGACAAAATACTTCTGTAAAAATACTAAACAATCACTCGAGAAGCAAATTAGGCATCAGAATGCGTTTGAAATTAATAAGATACCTGTTGGTCCAGCTATTAACCCGCGGTCAGGCGAAACAATGCGATTATACCTGGGTAATACATAACACGGAAGAGGAATTCAAGTCATTTTAAAATTACAGCAGGTAGGCAATATTTTTTAAGATTAAAAACATTATTTTTATTGAAAAGTATCTATTCGTACAAGACCTCTAGCTTTGCCAATGCCAGATTAAGTTTATCGCCAACATATGAATAGATTTCTTACCTTTCACAACATCGCCGCCATCGTCAACCAACTCTTCGTCGTAATCTTCGCCAAATTCCCTGTTGGAATGTATATTGTTGAATTCATCAAGTTCATCATCATTCCCAAATTCATCGTTATCACCAAATTCTTCATACGAGTTCAAATTGTTGTAATCTTCGCCCAAGTTGTCGTCGGAATCAATTTTTTCCTCATCTTCAATTTCATTATCGTTCTCAAATTCATCGTAGACATCAGCAACTTCTTCATGCGAGTTCACGTTGTTGTAATTTTCGCCGAAGTTGTCGTCGGAATCAATTTTGCTGTCTTCATCAATTTCATTATCATTCTCAAATTCATCATTATCATCAGCAAATCCTTCATACGAGTTCACGTTGTTGTAATCTTCACCGAAGTTGTCGTTGGAATCTATTTCACTGTCATTATCAATTTTATTAACATTCTCCAATTCATCGTTATCATCAGCAAATTCTTCATACGAGTTGAAGTTGTTGTAATCTTCGCCGAAGTTGTCGTCGGAATCAATTTTGCTGTCATCATCAATTTCATTGAGATTCTCAAATTCATCGTTACCATCAGAGAATTCTTCATACGAGTTCAACTTGTTGTAATCTTCTCCGAAGTTGTCGTTGGAATCTATTTCGCTGTCATCATCAATTTTATTATCATTCCCGAATTCATCGTTATCATCAGCAAATTTTTCATACGAGTTCAAGTTGTTGTAAACTTCGCCGAAGTTGTCGTCGGAATCAATTTTGTTATTATCATCAATGTCATCATCATTCTCAAATTCATCGTTGTCATCAGCTAATTCTTCATACGAGTTCAAATTGTTGTAATCTTCGCCCAAGTTGTCGTCGGAATCAATTTTGCTGTTATCATCAATGTCATCATCATTCTCAAATTCATCGTCGTCATCAGCTAATTCTTCATACGAGTTCAAGTTGTTGTAATCTTCGCCGAAGTTGTCGTCGGAATCAATTTTGCTGCCATCATCAATTTCATTATCAATCTCAAATTCATCATTATCATCAGAAAATTCTTCATACGAGTTCAACTTGTTGTAATCTTCGCCGAAGTTGTCGTTCGAATCAATTTCGCTGTCATCATCAATTTTATTATCATTCCCGAATTCATCGTTATCATCAGCAAATTTTTCATACGAGTTCACGTTGTTGTAATCTTCGTCGAAGTTGTCGTCGGAATCAATTTTGCTGTTATCATCAATGTCATCATCATTCTCAAATTCATCGTCGTCATCAGCTAATTCTTCATACGAGTTCATGTTGTTGTAATCCTCGCCAAAGTTGTCGTGGGAATCAATTTTGTTGTTATCATCAATGTCATCATCATCCTCAAATTCATCGTCGTCATCAGCTAATTCTTCATACGAGTTCAAGTTGTTGTAATCTTCACCGAAGTTGTCGTCGGAATAACTTTTGCTGTCATCATCAATTTCATTCTCATTCTCAAATTTATCGTTATCATCAGCAAATTCTTCATACGAGTTCAAGTTGTTGTAATCTTCGCCAAAGTTGTCGTCGGAATCAATTTTGTTGTTATCATCAATGTCATCATCATTTTCAAATTCATCGTCGTCATTAGCTAAATCTTCATACGAGTTCAAGTTGTTGTAATCTTCGCCGAAGTTGTCGTCGGAACCAATTTTGCTGCCATCATCAATTTCATTATCAATCTCAAATTCATCATTATCATCAGAGAATTCTTCATACGAGTTCAACTTGTTGTAATCTTCGCCGAAGTTGTCGTTGGAATCAAATTCGCTGTCATCATCAATTTTATTATCATTCCCGAATTCATCGTTATCATCAGCAAGTTTTTCATACGAGTTCAAGTTGTTGTAATCTTCGCCGAAGTTGTCGTCGGAATCAATTTTGCTGTTATTATCAATGTCATCATCATTCTCAAATTCATCGTCGTCATCAGCTAATTCTTCATACGAGTTCATGTTGTTGTAATCCACGCCAAAGTTGTCGTCGGAATCAATTTTGTTGTTATCATCAATGTCATCATCATTCTCAAATTCATCGTCGTCATCAGCTAATTCTTCATACGAGTTCAAGTTGTTGTAATCCTCGCCAAAGTTGTCGTCGGAATCAATTTTGCTGTTATCATCAATGTCATCATCATTTTCAAATTCATCGTCGTCATTGGCTAATTGTTCATACGAGTCATTCTCAAATTCATCGTCGTCATCAGCTAATTCTTCATACGAGTTCAAGTTGTTGTAATCTTCGCCGAAGTTGTCGTCGGAATCAATTTTGTTGTTATCATCAATGTCATCATCATTCTCAAATTCATCGTCGTCATCAGCTAATTCTTGATACGAGTTCAAGTTGTTGTAATCTTCACCAAAGTTGTCGGAATGAATTTTGCTGTCATCATCAATTTCATTATCATTCTCAGATTTATCGTTATCATCAGCAAATTCTTCATACGAGTTCAAGTTGTTGTAATCCTCGCCAAAGTTGTCGTCGGAATCAATTTTTCTGTTATCATCAATGTCATCATCATTCTCAAATTCATCGTCGTCATCAGCTAATTCTTCATACGAGTTCAAGTTGTTGTAATCTTCGCCGAAGTTGTCGTTGGAATCAAATTCGCTGTCATCATCAATTTTATTATCATTCCCGAATTCATCGTTATCATCAGCAAATTTTTCATACGAGTTCAAGTTGTTGTAATCTTCGCCGATGTCGTCGTCGGAATCAATTTTGCTGTTATCATCAATGTCATCATCATTTTCAAATTCATCGTCGTCATTGGCTGATTGTTCATACGAGTTCAAGTTGTTGTAATCTTCACCGAAGTTGTCGTCGGAATAACTTTTGCTGTCATCATCAATTTCATTCTCATTCTCATTCTCAAATTTATCGTTATCATCAAGAAATTCTTCATGCGAGTTCAAGTTGTTGTAATCTTCGCCGAAGTTGTCGTCGGAATCAATTTTGCTGCCATCATCAATTTCATTATCAATCTCAAATTCATCATTATCATCAGAGAATTCTTCATACGATTTCAACTTGTTGTAATCTTCGCCGACGTTGTCGTTGGAATCTATTTTCCTGTCATCTACAACTTCATCATCATTCTGAAATTGAGCAATATCTTCATATTTTAAGGACCATATGTTGTCATCTACGCCCAAGTTGTCGTCGGAATCAATTTTGCTGTTATCATCAATGTCATCATCATTCTTAAATTCATCGTCATCATCAGGTAATTCTTCATACGAGTTCTTGTCGGAATCAATTTTACCCTCATCATCAATTTCATTATCAATCTCAAATTCATCATTATCATCAGAGAATTCTTCATGCGATTTCAACTTGTTGTAATCTTCGCCGACGTTGTCGTTGGAATCTATTTTCCTGTCATCTACAACTTCATCATCATTCTGAAATTGAGCAATTTCTTCATATTTTAAGGACCATATGTTGTCATCTACGCCCAAGTTGTCGTCGGAATCAATTTTGCTGTTATCAGCAATGTCATCATCATTCTCAAATTCATCGTGATCATCAGGTAATTCTTCATACGAGTTCTTGTCGGAATCAATTTTACCCTCATCATCAATTTCATTATCAATCTTAAATTCATCGTTGTTGTAATCTTCGCCAAAGTTGTCGTCGGAATCAATTTTGCTGTTATCATCAATTTCATCATCATTCTCAAATTCATCTTCGTCATCAGCTAATTCTTCATACGAGTTCAAGTTGTTGTAATCTTCAGCGAAGTTGTCGTCGGAATAAATTCTGCTCTCATCATCAATTTCATTATCATTCTCAAATTCCTCGTTATCATAAGGAAATTCTTCATACGAGTTCAACTTGTTGTAATCTTCGCCGAAGTTGTCGTTGGAATCTATTTTCGTGTCATCTACAACTTCATCATCATTCTGAAATTGAGCAGTTTCTTCATATTTTGGGGACCATATGTTGTCATCTACGCCCAAGTTGTCACTGAAATCTATTTTGCTGTCATCGTCAATGTCATCATTCTCAAATTCATCGTCGTCATCAGCAAATTCTTCATAGGAGTTCAAGTTGTTGTAATCTTTGCCGAAGTGGTCGTCGGAATCAATTTTGCTGTCATAATCAATTTCATTGTCATTCTCAAATTCATCGTTACCATGAGCAATTTCTTCAAGCGAGTTCAAGTTGTTGTAATTTTCGCCGAAGTTGTCGTTGGAATCTATTCTGTTGTCATCATCAATGAAATAGTCTTTCTCAAATTCATCGTCGTGATCAGCAAAATCTTCATACGAGTTCAACTTGTTGTAATCTTCGCCAAAGTTGTCATTGGAATCAATTTTGCTGTCATCATCAATTTCATTATCGATCTCAAATTCATCATCGTCATCAGCAAATTCTTCATGCGAGTTCAAGTTGTTGTAATCTTCGCTGAAGTTGTCGGAATCAATTGTGCTGTCATCATCAATTTCATTGTCATTCTCAAATTCATCGTTACCATCAGCAATTTCTTCGTGCGAGTTCAAGTTGTTGTAATCTTCGCCGAAGTTGTCGTTGGAATTTATTTTGCTGTCATCATAAATGAAGTCGTCATCATAAATGAAGTCGTCATTCTCAAATTTATCGTTATCATCAGAAAATTCTTCATGCCAGTTCAACTTGTTGTATTCTTTGCCGAAGCTGTCGGTGAAGTCTATTTTTCTGTCATCATCAAGTTGGTCATTATTCTCAAATTCATCGTGATGAGAAAATTTTTCATACGAGTTCAAGTTGTTGTAATGTTCGCCGAAGTTGTCGTTGGAATCAATTTTCCTATCATCATCAACTTCATCATCGTTCTCAAATGCATCGTCATGATCAGCAAATTCTTCGTGCGAATTCAAGTTATTGTAATCTGCGCCGAAGTTGTCGTTGGAGGGAATTGTGGTGTCTTCATTAATTCCATTATCATTCTCAAATTCATCATCGTCAGCAAGCTTTTCATATGAGTTGAAATTGTCGTGACCAAATTTGCGGTTGAAATTTATGTTGCTGTTAATATCATCAATTTCATCATAAAATTGCTCATCATTCTCAAATTCGTCGTCATCGTCAACCAGTTCGTCATATGAATTCAAGTTGTTGTTTGAATTTGTTTCTGTGCTGGCATAATCAATTTCGTGAGCATTCTCGTATTCATTATCAGTGTCGGCAAATTCTTCATATGAATTCAAGTTGTTGTTATCTTTGCCCAAATCATCGTTGAATCTGATTTCACTGCTGTCATACGGAAATTCATGGCTATTTTCAGATCCTACGTCAACATTAAATTCTTTATTTGAATTCAATGTGTTGAAATCTATGCCATGTTCGTCGGTGGGAGTCAAACTGTTTGTTTTGCTGTTTAATTCATCTTCTTTCTTAAGATGGTTTCCAGCGTCGTTTGAATCTCTGTAACGATCGGCAATATCATGCAAGATATCGCTGTTCTTAGTGATCGTTCGAAGGCTATCGTTTAAATCCAAGTTATTGAATTCTGGTTAAAAGAGAATAATAAGTATCTGTCATTAACTCTGAAGAGGGATATTGATTTGTCTTTAGCATGTGTTCTTAAATAATTATGATAGCTTCGTTGTGATACTCTGGTTGTGGTGGTTATTGTACAAACTGTACGGTATGACAATTTTCTATTTGCTGTAAGCGAGTTATAGTTATAACTGTTTATGAATTGTTTTACATAGAGTTCAGGTTATTTAGATTAGGTTTCGCACATGGTCATTTAGATTAGGTTTCGCACATAATTATGTAACTGTTTATGTATTGTTTTACTTTGGGTTCAGGCCATTTAGGCCCTGTTTACACTATACCGGATCCACTGGTCACGACATCTTCTTTTGCCGTTACGGAGCAATGGTTAGTAGCAAATGCTTGTTAGTTTGACAGAATTGGCATGTTTATTTGGGTCTCTGAGATTAAAAAACTTCACAGCCTTTCGATACCTACAAAATTTGACCCACTCCGACAGCAATCCGGTATAGTGTAAACGGGGCCTTAGATTAGGTCTGGCACAGGACGTCATTTAAATTAGGTTTGAAAACTTAAACATAAAAAAATTTTAACTAGAAGTTACTTTCGCTAGAAGTTACTAACGGCACTGTGAAACGTTCAGATTAGTTTATAGCGGATTTGTTTTCAATCATGGACACCGGAAGTCCGGAACCCTTTTTGATTTTTGGGAAATATTTGTTACGTTTCAAAAAATCAATAAAAAATCCTTACATTTTCGTCACATGAGGCAAAGATCGCGGATCAATATACTTTTTCTAGGGAGAGATGTACATAACTTTTCTCGCAGGGGTTGAATTTACTACCAACTACTTTAGAACGTTTCCGAAAAATATTGTCGACAGAGCACTGGGGAGGGGGGGGGAATCGAAATTTATGAACGCGTTGAAAAATGGCGCGCCACGACGTTACTTTCCCCCCTCGACATCAGGTCGTTCCGGTGTTCCTGATTATTTCAATCCTCCTTTCGTTTTAAACCATTGATGTATGTCTGATGACAACTGATCACCACCTGTTTGCCTTTTGGAAACACATGTTTTTTTACTTGTCCAAGTATCAGAAATTAGGTAAAAAATTTGAATGTTTTTTTGTACACATTCTTATTCAACTTAATTCTTGTCGACCAGGTTCATTATTTGAAAGTTGAATATTGAAAATTCAATACTGTTCATGTATCTTAAGTTAACGTTGCAATGCCACAACGTATTGTATAGGGCCATGTTTTGGAACACCCGGCAGCATGAAATTATATGTGGTTCAGTCTTGAAATATTTTGATCGAAATAATTAATCAGACTGGGTTGTCTCTAGTTTCAGGTTGTTCTTTACATGCGCGCGTGTGCGAGATGTGTTTGGAGACGGGCTCCTCTATTCAAATGTGAATTTGATGAAAATAATATAGCAAACCGTTTATGTTTAGATTTTACATTTATTTTTAAGCTTAGTCGATTGGCAGGGCCGTAGCTAGACGCGATAATTGGGGGGTATATTCATATATTCATGTTCCGCACATACCGTATAATACCGTACTGTAAGAACAATCGCTTTCAAAAGTAATATCATGATTGCGGGTATTCCCTTTGTTCTCGCAGGGCAATTAATAACTAATACACTTCATTATATTCATTTTTTCTAATCCTACCCGCTTTTACGTCATGTCAGGTAGAATTAGTTGTAATCCTACCCGAAACGACGTCAAAGCGGGTACGATTAGAAAAAATGAATATATCTGAAATCGCCAAAACTAAACAAAGACATGGAAAACAATTATACCATTTAATTTATACCATTATTTATTGTTAATTGATTTTTACTGGCCCTGCGAGAACAACGGGAATACCCGCAATCATGATATTACAAGGTAATAGCATAGAAAGAGGCGAATTAGCTATTGAAAACGTCCCGCCCGATGAGGGTCGTTTAGTAAAATTCCCTTGGGCGCCGCTCGATTCGGGTCATTTAGTAAAATTCCCTCGGGCCTTCGGCCCTCGGGAATTTCGGGAATTTTACTAAATGACCCTCATCAAGCGGCGCCCAAGGGAATTTTACTAAACGACCCTCATCGGGCGGGACGTTTTAATAGCTAATTCGCCTCTTTCTATGCTATTACTTATAAAAATCCGTCGGGCAGAACACGAATATATGAATATGCACCCCCCCCCCAATTATCGGTCTAGCTGCGGCCTGTCGATTGGTTCGCAGAAAATACCATTTATGTGAATGAGATAGGATAATAAAAATATAGATGTAATCCAGATAATTCAACTTGTTATATATTGCTGGGGTGAACACCAAACGTGATTGACTGATTTATGGTCACGTGGCTTTAGACAAATGGATCACGCTGGGCTGTGAAAAATGGTTGCCCGCCTCGACCGACTACGTGCATAAATAAACAAAATGGTGGCACAACTCGCAAGTTTATAAACTACGGTTTTCCAAGATAAAGTACACAACAGGAAACAGGATTTGCTGTTGAAACCGTTTAAGTAGGTTTAATTTTTAAAATTTTCAACTCGTTTACACTAAAGAGTTTTTGTCATGAAATACAATTGTTGTAAAAATTTGTTGATTTTTCATTTCGTTTCATTTCGAGACCCTCTTTTCCTCGGGAGCAGCATTAAGTGTATTTTAGTTTTACGAACAAAACGGAAAAAATTAAGCATTAAAAAATTTAGTTCATCAGAACTAAGAAAGTACGATATTTTGTGTACTACTTCGATCCATTTACTAACCTTACATCATTATATGCATCACAGTCCCGGTTTACAGATGGTTTAAATAGAAGGCGCTAGGTCTAGGCTGGGTTTAATTTTGCATCAACTTGTCAATTCAGTCTGTTTGCAGTGCATGGTTACGGCGCGATTTGCACCAACAATAGACGCAGTAGAATTACATAATTAAACATCATCAAAAAATGTAGTCTCCGTCGCCGACATTCTTATCGCTACAACACTCGCTAACGAACGTCCGCTTAACAGAGCTGGGCATTCTATTCCGCCTCGAATCGACCAATCACAGCGGCCCTTCTTAATTTCGGAAACTTTGCAAGTTATCAAGAATATTTCTCAAACTCATTCAATATTCATGACCTCTCGGTCCAACCAGGCAAGCTGAAATCAAGTCACGTGCCGTATCTGGACAGAAGAGGAAGATCGGTCTGATTAAAATTCCTTATGAGAACAGTAGAAGTTTCTTGAACAAACTTGCACAACCAGAAATTCGACGTTTCTTTCGACAACAGGTTTCTTGCAGGTTTCTGCCGACCCGTAGTCATTGGTCCTTTTGCTCTTCCAGTTTTTAAATATACGAATACCCCACTGTGTTTTATATTCTTTTCGAAGCCTCCTTTTCGCTCAATATGCTTCGCCAAATCGTTTCGCCATCAAACACATTTACAAGTGAATCAAGTTATGGGTGGATTCACGCATATATTTTCATAGTTACTAAAACTTAACTTTTTCTTAACTAAAGCAATGAAAGGTCCTATTCCCTATTCATTGGAATATTTAATGAGTTTGAGAAGCCATTTCCTATCCTCGGAGCTGTGTTTGCAGCAGGGCTCTCAACACTCGTCATTAGTTTCGGTCCTCGACTGCGCCTTGGACCGAAACTAATGACGAGTGTTGAGAACCCTATACTGCAAACACAGCTCCTCGGATAGGAAATAATATACTTCAAAGGCAGTCGTCGGTTGTATTTTGATCAAAATTTCTCATATATATTTTCTCTCCTATTCCTAATGTATAGAAACTATATGTACGGGTAATAGTATGGTTTCGTGTGCAATCAGTATGGTTTCGTGTTTTGTGTGACTATCAAAATTGAATCCGAAGGACGGGTGCAATTTGAAGTCTATCCGAGTGTATGGTTTTTCAAATTGCACGAGCAACCATACTAGGCCCTATTAGTTATTAATAATATAAATGAAAATGTATGCAGTCACTCCTAAAAACTCCTAAATGTTTGTTTTTTGTATTATTTCTGCTGGAAATTGCTGTATCTTATTGGCTATCTTTGTTATTGTTTCATATTTTAAGTCATTCAGAAAGCCTAAATAGTGAATGAAATTTGCACTGTATTTCAGTTTTTTGCACTGTATTTCATTTCTTGGCACTGTATTTCGAAACGAGAAATTTTTTCATGTATATATTATTAGGAATGAAATAAATATACATGTTCGTACTATTAAAGTGACTCAGTACAAGGAATATAGAGGTGAGTGAATGAGTGATATAAAACATCGCGAATCGATGTGCCACTTGGCCAGACTGCTACATTCAATGCCGCGCAATGCTGTTTGCCATACATATATAAAAGGCTGCCGCATAGGTAGCCGAAACGTCAGAAACTGTCATGAATAGCGGACACTGATTAGCAGGGGCGTAGGAACCTTAGAAAAGTTGGGGGGGGGCAGGCTTTGAAGGGCACTTTCCAAAAAAAAGGGCATCTCAAAAAAAATTTTTGGCGACCTCCCCCCCCCAAAAAAAAAAAAACTAAAACATTTTTCGGGAAAAAACCTACATTACAGTTTTCAAAAGTTTCGTTTGGACAAAAACTGCGAATTTTATGAAAATTTTTCAGGCACAAAAAGGGCACTTTGCTCCTGTAAAAAGGGCACTTGCCAAAACTTGGGGGGCCATGGCCCCCCTGGCCCCGCCGGTTCCTACGCCCCTGCTGATTAGTCCAATTTAGAGTTTGCATTATAACGACTGCATGACGACAGCGAAATAGCAAACATTTCCTGATTTGATGATTGATAAATTTCTTGCAAATATATTTCATTTTTGCTCGCATTTTTGCAAGATTTTGTAAATCTCAAAAGCTCTCTCAGAAAGAAACTGCGAAAGAATCGGCTAAAAGAAGGGAGCCGACGTTAACGAAGGTTTTGTTTTAAATATTAATTTTATAATGACTTTAAAACCCGATGGCCTTTGCGTATATGAAACAACCTACTAGTAAACAAGACAGC